TCTGAATAAACTGTACATGAATTGTATGTTAGATTGTATTACTGTTTGATTGTTGTAGTATATATTTTTAGTAAACTTATAGTAAAGTTTATTGGTGTTTGTTGTAAACCATGGAGCCTTGTGGCTTTATTCGCTTGAGAAATCCTCTGGATACCACACTTTGTATATTTTTTTAAAAATGTTACTGGACCGTAGCCAGATTGAAACAGGAAGTTGGAAGTCGCATGCAGAATGATAACATCTCCCAGGTGGGACCTGAAAAAAGCTTTCTGAAATTTTAAATACACCACATCAGCTGGTCCTCCTTTATTTTTGCTAAAGTAAGCCACTTTTTAAAAAATTCCAGGTCTGTCAAACATGATTTCCCTTTCATCCATGTTGATTCTGCCCAATGACTCTACTATAATGCCCTGTATAATATATTCTGTTGTTTTCATTACTACTGACATCACACTGATAATTGTGTAGTCTTCCGTTCTTCCTTTCCCTCCCTTCCTAAATAGTGGAGTAACATTTGGTACTTTCCAGTCTGGAAAATTTTTTCGAGGATCTTTGGAATTTCAACAGATAACCTCTATCTCTATACTTGCTTCCCTTTAGGCACTGGGATTTAGCTCTCCTGGTCGGGGTTGGGGTTCAATCTTCAATCAGTTTATTTTTCAGATGCTATTGCTTTCTTTCAGTTTCTGTTTCACAAGCTTTTTCGCTGCCTAGCATTTTTGAGAGATTTTCTATATCTTCTCCTGTGAAGACAGACTCAAAGTAACTGTTTAGTTTCTCCGGCACTTCCCTGTTCTCCACTATAAATTCTCCTTTCTTCACCTATTATGTGTCCAATTTTCCGTTTCTTTTTCAAATACCCAAAGAAGGTTTTACAGTCCGCTTTATTGTTTCTGACTTGCTTACATTTATATTCTCTTTTCCCCTACATCATATATTTCTTGGTCATCCTTCACAGGCATCTAAATTGCTCCCAGACTTAGCATTTTTTTTCTGGCATCTTTATATGTCACTTCCTTTGAGTTAATTCAATCTTTAACTTATTTTGCTGACCTGGGAAGATTCACCTTTCCCATTAGATATTTGTATCTTTTTGCAGACTCTGTAATACTTTTCTTAAATATTAAATATAAACATGTTGACCATCAAATTCTTGAATGTATTTTACTAATCCATCACAGCCAACTTGCCCCTCATATCTTCAGTAGTTTATTATGGAAATAACATTTTCTATGCAAAATAACAATAACCTTTACAAGGTTATAAACACTGTCTAAATACATGGATTCACAAAAAGATTCACTTGACAGAACTGTTATGCAGTCCACAGAAGCACAAAGTGGCATCAGAAATGGTGAAATGTAGATTCTATCCCTCTCTCTGTTAAGTCCCCAGATTCAGTCATAAGGCCATAAGAAATAGGAACAGGAGTGGGCCATTTTGCCCCTCGAGCCTGCTCCACCATTCAATAGGATTATGGCTGATCTGACAGTCCTCACATTCACTTTCTTGCCCTTTCCCCATATTGATCAATTCCCTGCTAGTACAAAGAAATCTTAGAAGGAAGTTAGATGATTTTTGCATGCAGAAACTGGAAACTGGGGTAAAGTTAACCCTGGCTTTTCACTTGCATGTTCAAACAGCTTTTTCCAAAAATTACTGATGGTACATTAGGGGCAGGTTCTTCAGTCTCTTAAATGAAACACACAACTGTGGATGCTGGAAATCTGAAACTAACAAAAACATAAACTGATGGAGGAACGTAGTATGTCTGGCAGGAGCTGTTGAGAGAAAACAGAGTTACCATTTCGAGTCCAGTGACTCTTCAAAGGATCATTGGCCTCAAAATATTAACACTGTTTCTCCAGCACCTTCTGTTTTTGTTCTTCATTCTCTTGGCTGGTACACAATGTGGTGGAACCAGGCAAAAAAAAACTGGGAGCAGTTTGAGAGATTATATGCAAACATATATTTTTAAACATCGAGATGAAATACATCAATTGTAATGTTTAACAATTTGATCAATACACAACCTCCTGTCTTGCAACTGCCAAACCAACTTGCGCATTCTTATGTGGAACATTTACATTATTTTTCTATGAATATAGAAAGTTCAGCAAGGAAGTGAAAAAGAAACAAGAGAGGGAAAGAGAAAAAAGAGAAAGGACTGACAGCTAACATAAAAGAAAATCCAAGTCTGTCCTAAGTATATAAAAGTGTAGTAAATGAAGGGTCGAATTGTTGAGAGAATAAGAGAATCTATGCATGGGAAGAGAGGGCATGGTTGAGGTACTAATTGAATATTTCACATCAGTCTTTACTCAGGGAGAAGATACACGATTGTGAAAGAGCTCTTGGAAAATATCCCTGGACCAGCTTGGCCAAAGGGCTGAAAGTTAATGATGATATTCGACAGCTGCATGAGAAGGTAAATTGTATAGAATGGGCTGAATGGATAAAGTTGTTATGATAGTCGACAAGCTGCATAACCTTGAATAAGTCCTGTGAACATTCCTTTATGAGCCGAAGATGACACCTGCACTTGTCTTCCCATCCTGTGTTTTCTGTACCAGAAAGCACTTTTGTCTTTCTGTGAGAGATAGTAGGAACTGCAGATGCTGGAGAATCCGAGACAACAAGGTGCAGAGCTGGATGAACACAGCAGGCCAAGCAGCATCATTGGAGCAGGAAGGCTGACGTTTCAGGCCGAGACCCTTCATCAGAAATGGGGGAGGGGAAGGGGGTTCTGAAATAAATAGGGAGAGAG